ATCCCTCTGGTTTTTTCTCTATTACTAATGAAGTTACAAACTTATCTTTACGGATTAGTTTGTAACTTTCTTTATTATTGTTCTAGTTACTCTACACAATTTCGTCTACTGTTCGTGTTTTATGATTTTTATTTTCACTTTTTTTTGAGGCCTTAAGATTACTATAATGACTAAATACACCTATAAGTGTATATGCAATGGATAAATAAATAGGAAAACTTTTACTGGCATCTGAGATCAACTCAAGAACTTCAGCGGCAATAGGTGTCAACTATCACAATATTACCTATTGATATTTATGATTCAAGTGTTTTGCAGTTTACTATTTCAAAGGGTTTTTAGTACTCTCCCTATAAGAAAAAACAGTGCATATGTTGCGAGCAAAGCCTGATATTGGACAATCCCAGCAATGTACTAAAATTATTGTCCACTTCTAGCATTGTATCCCCAAACTGTATAATGTCCATGATACTATGGCTATACCCGGTTCGCTATTCCCAGTCCGAACTGTCTAGTGATTTTAGTAATTATTTTTTTGCGAAGTTAGTTACTTTTTGACAGACTCGAAGTGGCTGGAAATTACTATACAACCAAGCATACGTGCTCTTAGTCAATATTAACGTAAACAAAAGTAAATAAAATAGAACTTTGCCGACAATCTATATTTATTTATTTACACTGTATAATGTATTGATAACAAATAATAAAATTATTTATTGTACAAAATAAAAAAAGTGGGAATAAATTCTACAAAATTAAAAAGTCAAAGTGAGGTTAAATAAGACAGAGCAAGTTCCTTATGTTGTGACTAGAATAGAATCAATGATTAAAGATTAACAGTTCATTGGATAGCATTAATATAAACTGTTGTTTTATTATCTTACAAAATAAGTGTACTTCCATATGCTAAAAGCAAATATTAGTAATTTGACTAGGCAAATTCGTCGTTCAATAGTAATTTTTGCTCATTAGCATATTTGAGGATGTTAAAATCTTCCACATATGGTGAATGAATTCAGTGTCCTGGCCGCAGTCTGCAGTCATATAAACCCAAACAAACAACAAACCTCCATGTAGGTATAAACAAGTTTATATTAAATTAGAAACAACTAATCTAAAAATGTTAACTTTTAAAAAACATTTTATCATATTTATTAAGAAAAACTTACCAACGCATTAGCTGATGGAACAAATGGAAAACTTTGACTATCCATAATAATAAAATTTAAAATATAACTAACTAATTAACTGAATAGAACTAACAAAAGAATTAAACAAAGATACTAAAACAATAAAACTATATTAAATTAAATAAACAACGCGAATAATACAAATATTTACTACAATATTTTAAATTGTAACAATTCAAATATTATATTTAAAATATACAGGGAAAATTTGATGGGTTTAGTATACACTTCCACTATTTAGAAAAATTTTTTTTTTTTTCAAAGAAAGAAGTCTGCAATAGTAGTATACTTGAGCTATTAATACTGAGAAGTAGGAATTGTTGTGTTGTAGGTTTCCTACAATGAGTCTGTCAAAATATGCCCTAGCTAAGCGAATAGACAATAAGAAGATAACACGCATAACACGTGACGTCATTGGAGAGTTGCACGTTCGAAATGTCAGTTTTTTGTATGTATCAATAAATAATCTTTAATAAATAGTTGGGAGATATCCTTATGTGTACGATTATTGTAATTATTAAACCTCTAACTTATTTTCGTCTAGTAATTTCATCACAGAATGCATACAAATCCTATTTAACTTTAACAAGAATTCAAGTTCTACTCTCCAATGACGGCATGCGCGAACACGACCGATTTTGTGCTACGGGAAGATCCTATATTGTTAGTCATAGTATCATGCAATGTCCGAAATGATCAAAATTAAAAATGTCAAAATTATCGAAACTATTATTGACAAGCGACACATTAAATAAAAAATCGAACATTTCTTGTTAATTATTCGTTTTCGAATCGACAATGTGCTAACATGATGTGTCAAACTCATTAATTATCTTGATTGAGTTGTCATTTTGCTCGATGGTCAAATTAAAATATAAATAATAAGAAGAAATTGTTCTTCAATAGAATGATAGTGTTAATGAAACATTTCAAAGTTTCAAGAGATAGATACCTACATTATTTTAATTTAGTGAAGATGTTTGTAGAACATTTCAGATTTTCAAAAGATGAGTATGATAATTTAAAATAATTTAATCCTACAATCCAGAAGCACGAATTAACTATGAATATATAACCTCATTGATGTTTGTTTGTCTTTAACAAAGATAGAGAATAATAAAATGCCCACTATGCTTAAAAAAATAAGTATGCGCATATTGTTCGCGCAGACGGGAACAGCCACGTTTTAGTCGGAACCAGTGCTGTTCAGTGACATTTTATCTGGAATGCATAGAAAAATTAACTCGGTTTAATTTATTTACGGCAACTATAGACATACCTACTGTGCACTATTTTATTCGTACTTTTAGTTGAGGGATAGATTAAATTATTTCAAATGTACTAAATTATTAAACTTCAAAGGCGGCATCTAAGAGTGGGCATTCTGATTGTTATTTATTCGGTGCCCAAACTGTACAATGTCCGTGTTAAGTTTGACCCATTGATACAAATACTAAATTGTACTTTGATTAATTTATTATGAAATATCTAATACAGACATGAGAAAAAAGCTTGCTTCCCTTTTTGTTTACCTGTCATCTGTCTCCGTTGACAGCCCAACGCAACGTTGCCAAGCAACACAGAAACTTAGAATTAAATACAGATCAGTCCGAAATGATCAAAATTAAAAATGATTATCGAAACGCTCATCGATTAGAATGGATTATTATTGACAAGCGACACACCAAATCGAACATTTCTGGTTAATTATTTGATATTGTTATATTTTCTATTTATATATAGAGTTGTTCTTTTTCGAATCGACAATATAATATGCTGTCTCAAACTAAAATATAAATAATAATAAGAAATTGTTCTTCAATAGAGTGATACTGTTAGTAAAACATTTGAAAGCTTCAAGAGATAGATGCATTATTTTAATACAGTGAAGATGCTTATGAAACATTTCAGATTTTTAAGAGAATTTCAGAAGCCCTAATTAGTTATAGATTTATAACCTTTGATGTTTGTCTTTAACAGAGATATGTGTAAGAGCGATCTCTGATCATTAATAACAAATAGATATTACTAATAATCGTAAAAATCGATTTGAATCGATATCTGTCATATTCTCCCAAACTTTGAGGCATGGCTACTTATTGAAATTCAAACATTATACAGCTATTCTTTTATATAAAGTCCGACGATTATTCCTATTTCCGACATTGTACAGTAAAGGGGTACACTGCTAGAAGTGGACAAGATTTTCCGTACAATGCTAGGATTGTCCAATTTCGGACATTGCTCGTAACACATAAAATTATTTTCTTACACCCTCCAACCCGATCAGTATTGACGAAGAACACATAGCACTTAGTTAGAAATATCAATAAGATTTAGATATGGGTTTGACCAGAAGCCAGAATTATATTTTCTAGTTGGTAATTTTTAGTAATTTCACAATAACCTAATATAAAATTGTATGACAATACTCGTCGGACAATAGTAACCATTTAACTGCTTTGTTACGCCTCACGCTCTGTAATATCCTGGGTGTATATTTAATTTGATATGAAAGTAATACAAGGCAATTTCTAGAGTAAATAGGCTTATGTATATCGGTTCGACACAAACTATATATTACGGTCTCAGTGCAAAAGTCTTCGTATATCAATTTATTTACATACATTTTAACTGTCAGACATTTCTAAACATTGTTTAGCTTTAGAACTACGATTTTATACTTAAATAAGCTAGAAATTAATTGGTACGTTCGTTGCGCAATCTACAAAATCACTTGTGCCTGTTGTTAATTTACTGCAAAGGGTACATCATAAAGTTAATCTCTAATTTCTTTAGCTACTTTTTCTTTTTACTTGTTTACTTTTGTTGATTACTCATGCTTTAGGTTTTTTTTTTCTGTAATTCCAATGGTATTTAAAAATATTTACTTTATTTAGGAACCTATCGCACGGACAAAAAATACAACACATACATATTCTCGCTCCGCTAAGTCTTTGCACATGCGCCATCATTAAATGTATAAGAATTAAAAACGGACTTTAGGTCAAACGTCGTAGGTCGTGTATAAACGTAGATGTGAGTAAGGACTGCCTAAGCTCTGACGTCACAATGGGTGGGGATTTTAAAAACTTTTGCAAACTTTCTATGCAAAGCGGACGGACGCGGACCAGCTGGCACCGACGCACTGTGGGAAATGTCTCGTCCGTGGTAGCACAGGCACGTCTGAGCTGGTCCGTCGTATCCATCGTCCATCGAGAGTCGGTAACATCAAAGTTGCGGTACATGCCCGTGCGACGCGATCTGAGGGTTTCCTTGTTTTAACAGACAAATGCAAGTCAGAAGTTGTTCATTCGCTGACACGAGTAGTTGTCTGTAGTGTTGTCAAAGTTGTTTTGCACTTTTTTGATAAAAAATGGAATGGACAAACAAAGTTATTTTTCATTTGTTAAATTTGTATCAAAATGAAACAAGTTTATGGCATTCTACGGCGCCAGGGCATAAGAACCGGAACGATGTATACAATGCATGTAACTGAATAAAAAATCAATTGTAGAATAGTAAATAAACAGTAAATTTCGATTAAAGACTTAAAAAAGAACAGAGACAATTTAATGTCGACATACAGAAACCAAAAAAACAAAAGTACAGACCTATACAGACTGCCACGGACCGTAGGAAGAGCTCTGTCTGCGGTGCGTTGCCGTCCGTGCTCATCGGCTATGCGCGATGATCTGTAGAATCGCCGATCGTGGGAAGCCGTTATAATTTGTGAAGGCAAAGTTTGTGGGCAAAGTTTATAGACTCTTTTGAAAATACATACCATGTGATACTTGGATTAGACGTAGAGTATGTCTTTCAGTCTATGTAGTGTACGTGTTAACAATTATAATAGCAGCCATATTTGTTTGTGTTCCAGTAGTCATTGTTCATACAATGTCTTCTACAGCTATAGATTATTCTTTTTTAAAACTTTTGTGAACACAGTTAAATAGAGGATCGTTAGTGTCTCTGTTTTTAAACAGATAAACTAACATAGGATGAAAAAATAATAATTATTTCTAAACAAAATAATCTTTTAATAGTTCTTTGCTAATTTTCTTAACACATCTACCTCCTTGATTTCTATGATATCGAGGTTATTTAATTCAAGCCACCATTTACTACCATTTATCAAACGATCAGAAATTGAACATACTGCTTTCAGCGGTAATAATCTATTTTTATAAGGATTTGAAATTTTCGTGACCTATTACTCGTGGAGTTTTTAAAATTCTATCAAAATACTGATAAGGTTTTTTTGCTTTCAACGTATTCATCAGGACAAAGGATTGTTGTTCGTACAGGACTGATTAATTGGCTAACTGTTGTCTTTGGTTGCTCCTTCTATGGGCTTTGCGTTTGATTCGTGCATTTGAGATGTACTGCTAGACTGCATCAGAATTGAAGATAAAGCTTCTAAGGATTGCCTAACCTAAAAAAACACTGTATTAATTTATTATTTATACTTGAATAATAATTAAAAAAACAATTTTAAGGTCCGCACACAACAGTGAGCAGTGATTTTATTATAGTACTTATTAAGTACCAAAATTAAGTTACTCAAGCATTGAAATTTCCATCTTAAGAGCTCACAAGTTATAGATTGCAGAGTCTAAACTGCAGATATTTTAGCCAAATTGAGGCAATTTGTTTTCAGGAATTCGTGAGCAAAAAACTCCAATCCATATTACCACATGTCTTTCTGACATGTCAGTATAATAAGTGAGGACACTTCTTGTGAAATGAGTAATTTCGTTTTGTGCTAAATGAAAATCGTTTATGATGACATTTAATGGAAGTTAAACATCCTGTTTTGCAGTAATAATGTTTATGGAAATCTGCACGAATTGCGTTGTTACGACCCGTAGAATCTTCAGATGTCCAGTCAGATCACCAGATTTAAAATACTGAGCCTGTATTAGCCGAAAGACTTAGTACGATCCTCGTTGCATTGATATAAAGCGAGGAGTACTAGCATTACCTCTAAGGGATGCTCTCATTGTAACCGTGATTATTATGCAATCGAATTTTTGCATTTTTTATAAGTTTGTTGCATTGTTATGTTCCGATAAACTAACACAGGGTCTGAAAATCGTTTTATTCAAATTATTTTTGATGCGTGTTTTGTTAAACAACCTAAGGTACGTCCAGGCAGCCGTTATGATAATGACCTTGTGTGCAGTTTCACAAATGTATATAAACATTTCTAAAATATTAACAGACTTTTTGTTAGTTTTCATTCTCCCCGTATACTTAGCCAAGATTTCACTTACAAAAATACAGACACTAACGAACAATTAGACGGTTGTTAATATAATGTTGCAAACAAAAGAGTATTCATTCGAACATTGTTGTTAACAGTGAAGAATAGAACAATTCGTGTATTTTGTTAAAGTTGCAGATATCTTGGCTAATAATACACCTACGCGTGGCATTAATTTGTAAAAAACAACACTTGAGACAACCTCCTGTCTCGGGGAGACGAGTTTTATCTGCCAAATGACACATTCGTGTTTTAATTAGGAGTAGTGGCTGGCTACTCCATGCCCGACTCTTTTGTGATTGCTGTAGGACAAAGAAGACATTGTTTAAAGTTGTAGATTGAACATAGACATTCCCCTTCTTTTCTGATGACCTCATATATAGACGAATGTGCAGAATGACATAAGATTCATTTTGTTAAGATTTACGGAAAGCCGCTCTTTCAACGACCAGCTAGTTACTAAACTTTAACGACCGTGTAACCAATAATACTGTCACGTTTTTTTCTAACCACTATAATTAGATATAGACAAGGCGTAGAAATCACTGAAACGAGAACGTTAACAATTTTACCCAAAAAACGTACAAAACTTAACAAAACAAAACAAAAAACTCGAAGTAGGTGAATTATCACAATAATGTTGATTATGATGGTGTTTATGATGATGATAAAATAGTAATCAGTAAGTACACTAACCTGAGCAATAAGAACTAAATTCGAATCTAAAAAGTTATTCACGGCCCCTGCCGACTTCGAATGCATCTGCGAATGCCACTGCAAGAGGTCGCTGTATACATCCTTGGATCCTTTGATCATATTCTCGTGCAATGCCATAGAGTATTTGTTTTGAATTTTGCTTATTCGATAGAGCAACAGCCCGGCTGAGAAAAAAAGAAGAATGAGCAAGAGTGTTGTAGCGCACAAGATTATGCTCTGTCTTGGTAATTTTCTAAACTCGACGATGGCCTCCTTTAGAACTTTCATGAATCCTCCGGAGTCCTTGTCATAATCCGACCCTAAAATTTAACGACAATTAAATTTAATGTATGTACATATATCTATGTAATATTTAAAGTTTCTCTTTAATGCATTTATTTTCCATACTTTGTTAGGAGGACAACAGAATGGATATCAATACAAGATCCAGAACCAAAAGCATGATATTGGCTCTAGATTCAAAGGAACGTAAAATGAATTATCTATGGAAAATACAATTAATGTAATACTGTTACAAGTTTAATGGAATTACAAATTTCTCGAAGCGCACATTAAGTTCTTTTTAGTGACATCTATTCGCTCCGTGCGTGACTGATGCGACACCTACCGCCTTCATCTGACAATTTTGTAGTCCCAATTTTCATTTTAAATATATGACATATTATGTTTGACATTGTTAAATACATGCGAAATTGACAATTATTAATAAATTAGTTTTTTAACTATATTTTTTCAGTTTATGTACAAAATAAATGTAGTATTAAAAACTGAGTTTCTCAAAATTCATCATAATATATCTTTTCAACTCCAAACGGAAAAGAAAGCGAAAAATCTAGTACTGGCAAATCAAGTTTTTCACGCAAAAGAGCATATAATTAAAAACAATAATAGTAAAAGTTATGATATAAAAGCTAAAGTCATCTGCAGTTAACTTGAAGCCTTATGAAATATCATTCAAGGTAAATTATTTAAATTGTTCCTATTTCAATTGCATAAAAATGAAATTATGTGATATTTACTTTTTCATATTAATAGCACGAATTTATATGTAATCTTTGGGAACCTATAAAAACTACACTCACTGTTTTTGCTATTATTAGCAAAATTAAATACGCAACATGTATTTGCACACATTTTTGATAAAACTTATGCGTAAAAATATTTTGTCCAATATTCCAATTTTGTCATATTTCACCGCTACGCACGCTGGCATCGTTTCAATGTACCCCTACCATGGTCACGCACGGTGCGAATAATACACAATAAAATAAAATAAAAATTTACCTACCTTCTACTCCACTAGGTCGTAGATCTTTTGGAATTACTTTGACTAAAGAAAACTTAGGCTTTATTTCAATTGGGGGTGAATCTCGACCACTTTCTACTTCTATCGAATCACTAGAATCTAAATCAGGTTCCTAAAACGAAAGAACAAATTTAAATTATTAGATAAAATAATTTTAATTAAACTAGTACCTATCAGACGAATGTCATTAAACCAAAATTCGTCTTAACATATCAGTAGCATTTACAAATAATACTACTAAATAGCAATATCAACTATGAACATATGTGATATACAACTATAGGTTATGAGATGTTTTATTGATGATTGCTTTTGCTGTTTTCTCTAGATAGATTATTAGATTATCAGGAATTGGTTTGTAATCTGGAGTATTAATGAGATTTGAAAGTTTATTAATGTAAGAAGTGTTTAGGATGACAGTGGCGTTTGTTTTATCGGCGGGGAGAATGACTAGATTTGGATTTGACTGAAGTTCTTTTCTTTTAGGGTTTTTCTCTCGGATTGGTTAATATTTGGAGTAGGATGCTTTAAGCTTCTAATAGAAAGTAAACTGGAGATGGCTTCGTCAGTTTCACAGATGATTGTCTCAATTGGAATGTAACTTGGGATAACAGAATAATTGAAATATTTTTAAAGTGTTTAGGGCTGTCTCTGTATTTATATGATCGTATAATAGAGGATGTACATTAAAAGAATGAATCGGTGACCAGACATTAAAAATTTGGGTGTAAGTGATATCTAGTTGTCGTCTAGTGGAATGAAAATCTTCAGTCAATATTTGGAAGCTTAAAATTTGAAAGAAAATAAAGTCATTCCCAAATCTTTAAAACTCAAACACTATTTCAAATTGTTAGAAAGACCAGTTTTGCGCTACTCCGTGATGCTATTCATTCCACTCACTATGAAATGAATTTAGACGAAAATTAGATGACTTATTATAGGTACTCTTTTTACCAGGAGATGGGGATCATTTTTAGGGTTAAGTTTCAATATATAACTTATTATGACCAATTACTGACTTATACTCTTTTTCCTAAGCAGCATAGAATTGTAGTAGAGAAAAAAGTAAAATAAGGCTTAGCTAAGGCCATATAGTCCGATAGAAATAGGTCGAAGTGGAGGAAAAACCAGAAAATAAGAAAGCTTCCAATGAAGAAAAAAATAATTAGAAATTTCACACTTTTGTTTTAGAGAAATATAAATAACTTTTAACTAAACAAAATTATTATTTAATGAACCAGCCTTTAGACATAACAAAACATATTAATTACTATTTAACTGGGAATAAGCCACAATTAAAGATAAAAATACGTTTATTGACGTTTCAATTTCCACTTCGGAAATCGTTCTCAAAATACAAACAGTAAATTAAACAAATTTTGTTTTTTGTTACATAGTGAAAAATTCTTCTAATAATTTACTTTTATCTGACTCATTTATATTGACAATTCAGACATACATTATGCATTTTAAAGTAGACGACTTTAAAATGATATTGCCAATATTGTTGAGTTGCGCTCCTGGGACGACTTTACTTATAAGATAGTTCATTCGATTACATGAAATCAACTTTAACTTGAGAATATCGTCAGAAAAAAATCATAGCATGTAATTCGTCTTTAAAAAGACAAACACATGACATGATGACAGTAAAATTCTTTTGTTAGTCATTCCATAGTAAATTATGAGGGAAAAACCAGGAAGAAAACCTCATAATACTATACCGACATGGTAAGTATTTGTTCGTGCATTTAGTTTACCTTCAATAAACACCAAAATTCTGATTTTATATGTTTCGTTATTTAAAAAACATAAATGATGTATCCTCTATATGTTACTGACTTATTAATATTGGTATTTTCTTATTAATAACTTCCTCTTTCAATATTGGTAACCAGATCCTACTACATTCTGCCGAGGAATTTGCGACACAATTAGCCTCATTTAGCATAATTAGAGCCGCTTCTTTGATTTTTCTTTTTTTACCATCCGTTTCTTTTAGGACTACATTTGAATTATTCCATTGAACCCTATGTTCATTATCCCATGCGTGTTTACATATTTGAGATCTATCAAATTCTCTATTTTTAATAGAAGATTGATGTTCACTTATTCTAACATTTAATGGCCTTGATGTTTCACCTAAATAAAACTGATTGCATTCACAAGGTATTTTATAAATGCAATTCTTTGTCCTTTCTTGTTCATTGTTAGATTTGGGTTTTTTCCCTCATAATTTACTATGGAATCACTAACAGGAGAATTTTACTGTCATCATGTCATGTGTTTGTCTTTTTAAAGACGAATTACATGCTATGATTTTTTTCTGACGGATATTCTCAAGTTATAGTTGATTTCATGTAATCGAATGAACTATCTTATAAGTAAAGTCGTCCCAGGAGCGCAACTCAACAATATTGGCAATATCATTTTAAAGTCGTCTACTTTAAAATGCACAATGTATGTCTGAATTGTCAATATAAATGAGTCAGATAAAATTAAATTAGAAGAATTTTTCACTAAGTAACAAAAAACAACAAAAAACAAAATTTGTTTAATTTACTGTTTGTATTTTGAGAACGATTTCCGAAGTGGAAATTGAAACGTCAATAAACGTATTTTTATCTTTAATTGTGGCTTATTCTCAGTTAAATAGTAATTAATTTAAAATGCCACAAGAAAATAGCTTCAGAACAATATTAAAAAAACATCATTCTTAACAAAACCAAACAAACAAAAATTGTTTGTATTCATTTTAATAAACATTCTAAACGATTTCCATAAATTTTAATAATAGTAATGGCATGTAGGTATTTTTAAATTTAAATTAAACTGACTAATATCAGATAGTGTGCAAACCATTTGCAATTGTTATTACTCAGTGACCTAATGAGTCATTTAGGTTTATGTCAATTTTATCATATCCACTACAAAATAATTCTAACGTTTTACTTATTACATTAACATTATTGTGTCAAATAATTTCTAAATATCTAGTTGCAATAACAATTATATATCTTTGATTTGGTCCAAAACAAAAGGGGGCCGATGTAAAAGTTTGACTTACACTCAAAGGTTGGTAGAAATGCGACCAGATTCCACTCGTATAGACATCTACTTTGCTATACAACGTTAACTATGGTGAAATTTTCTGCTTCGACTCGGAATTCTTCGAACAGATTTTTAAAGTTATTTACTCTAAAAATGTTTTGAATAGAAACAGGATAACGTTCAGTTCAACACGCTATAAAACTCCGTCACTGGATCAAGTTAGTTATTAGTCACGCTAATTCATATATACCATTCCGACGTCTTCTAAGTGTTCATTGACGCGTCTAGCAGTGGGAACGCCATAAGGTTGTTATATACCTTGCTCCTGTTATAAAATCTCCATCTACCAGAACTAAGTCGGTACGGGTATCTGAACTTATACCAGTCCAAACCATAACTGAGCCTCCTCGATAGATTATTCTGTTGACAATATTACATTGGTTAAACCGTTCTCCTTATCTTCTCTTGTCAGATTCTTTTGCGACCGTCTGGTCAAATCGAGTAAAATCTGGACTCACCCGGGAACAAAACATTACTCCAATCTGCTTAATTGAAATTTTTGTGTTGCGTTGCAAAAGCAAGTCGAGCTCTGTGGTGTTCCGTGGATAGTTGTCGACATAGGACTGATCTTATGGATAATAAATTCGCTTCATGAAGTCGTTGAACAACTCCTAATATCCACATTTCGGACCTGTTTCAGGCGATTTACCAGCTCAATTGAAGTCAGATGTCTATTTAGTGTAGTAACGATGCGATACCTGATACCCACATATGTTAATAGTTACTTGCATGCCAACTCTCATCATCCACCTTGACAAATCAATTCAGTCATTAATACCTTTGTCTCCAGATCAATATGCCTTTATGATGATGCAAGTAGACCCGCTAAGCTTTCTTGTTTAAACCAATCTCTCATCCAAAACGGTTAACGCAAAAATTACATCAATAGGAGCATTCACAGGCATTAATCTCCCACTAAATCTCAACCTATAGACTAGGACTCTCATCATACGAAAACTCTTCTTCCTTACAACAAAGCTTTCACTGACAAAATCGACAGAATTCATAAATAAAGAGGAATAAAGACAATATTCACCTCCAACAAAAACTTTCAGCTTTTCTCTGATCAATCAAAGACAACATTCCAAATGAACAACACGAAGTTTATGAAATCCCTTGTGCAGACTGTCCCCTATCTTATATAGGCCAAACAAATCGTAAAATCCAATTCCAATTAAATTTCAGCTCGAAGTCAACACCATCTTCATAAAGGTCACATAATTGATTTTGAAAACTCCAGAACCACAGCCCTCATCCGCTTCTATAAACAAAATTATCATAATAAAACAGATGGCGGCATCCGGTTAACTTTTGAAATAAAGACCTCTCAAAAAGACAATATCGTCCACCCTCCAATCAAAATCCTGCCGTCAGAAATGTTTGGGCGCCAATCCCACACCAATCCTCACGCTAACTTCCACGCCAACCTTCACCTATAATTCACATACATTTAGATACATTATGTGCATAATTTGCCTTTAAGGACCGCTGCCACAAGCTGTGATTTAAACTCCATTTACTAAGATATCTGTTTTAATGTCACCCATATCGGACGATTAAAATCAAAACTTGTATGGGACAAAAATTGGGACCAGTGTATTATTATTATGGAGGTCGCAGTTCGCCGTGTATATCAGCTTCTGTGCTTAGTTCTGATCTATGCTTTCAAAAATTGCTTATCTCAAAATCGTCCATCACTAGGGACGTGGAAGTAGTGGGTGTTGCGTGTACTTTCGGTAGCGCAAAATGAGCTAGTATGTTGATAATCAGTGCAAAGATCTTTATCCTACTAAATTTTGCAAGGAAAAATGGGAACGAAACCATACTATGTAATTGATTCTGACGATCCCCTTCTACTTATCTCCAATAAATCCTTTACTGGGTTTCCGAAAATTGACAAAAAAATTTCTATGAATCCAGGAATTACTATGTTAACGCCCTATGAAATCTGTAGGTGCTAAGCGATTGACATGTAGTACTTACAGAGCTAAATATTCTTAG